CCCCATGGCTGCCCACAAGAAGTTCCATTGCTGGCCTCCTCAGTAAGCAGCACCCGCCAGACCAGGGACACAATTCCCAGGTGGGAATGGGAAAGGCTTACACAGCTGTCCCCGAGGGCTCTGTCTCCACAGCAAGAACAGGCTGGTATGCTGTGTGATTCCCAGGCAGCCACCCATCCTCTCTGGTCCTGCATTTCTTTCATGCAAAATGGGCCCAGGACCCCATTGTGTAATGGGTGTAAACAGGAAGATGGGTGTCTGGGCGGTGCTGGGCAGATGGACACCCGGCTGCTGGGCCCACGCTGGTGAGGACCCATCCCCATTCTAGCTGGGCCGGGCCCAGCTCTGACCTCACCTGGTTTACGGAGGCCACAGCAGCCCCCACTGCAGCGGGGAGGCTGCAGCCAGCTGGCCCAGAAAGGCCGAGCAGGGCGCAGGTGGAGGGGAGGCTGTTATCTGCCTCTCCAGCTCTGCCCAAGGTCAGCGCCACATTCCTGCCGGCAGCCCTCGTGGGCAGGCGGGAGGAGGAAGGGAGGAGCCGGCGGGAGGCCCCAGGGCCACGCAGCAGGAGTGGGCTGAGCTGCTGCCCAGGGAGCCCCTGCCCCGCCAGGTCCAGGCTCAGCTTCTCACCTGCAGAACTGGCCGTAGCCCGGGCGGGAGTGCAGGTGGCCTGGGGCAGGAGGATGTCTTCCTCCCTGCAGGCAGGAAGGCCCAGGGCCAGACGTAGGCAGTGGAGCTACAGACACACAAGCCACGGGCAGCTTGCAGCCTGGACCACAGCTGGGAGCAGCCGCCTGCCCTCGGGTCACCATGAGGACAGCCAGGGTGCAGGCCCTGCCCTGCCTGCCCTCAGGGTGCTGCTCAAGCCCCTTGCTGAGCACCGACTGTTTACTGACCAGCTACCGAGCACTGACCTCAAGCTGGGCACGGGACGTGGCTGGCCCACGCCACTCTGCCTACCACCCTGACTCACGCCAGCAGGCCGGCACCACACAGCTGCTACTGGGTGGGAGATGGCAGCCCCGCCCTCAAGCCTTCCCAGGCTGGGCGGGCCCTGCTCCTGGCCCTGCCAGGCCTCTCCCCCCGCCTCTGGAGCAGGAGTCCCAGGGACCCTCACGGCGGCCTTGCCAAGGACCCTTCCAGGGCAGAGGGATGTGAGAACAACAGGAGGCCCAGCTCAGAGAAGGCATGCTCCGAGCCACGGCTACACAGCAGTGCCTGCCAGGACGTGCAGGAGTGAGAGGCCAGGCAGCAAGCGATGCTGTCAGGGGCTCCCCAAGGCCAGGCCCTTGCTTCCAAGGGGGAGCCCATGGCTGTGCCACGCGCAGCCCTCTGGGAACGCGATTCCTCCTTTCAAACACACTGCAGACCCCAGATCTGACGAGGACGTCCCCAGTATGCCAGGGGACTGGTGCTTCTTCCCCATCCTGCAGGCGGGAAAGCTGAGGCTCACATGTTCTCAGCCAGTGAGTGGTGGAGAAACCACAGAAGCATCTGCTGGCCCTAAGTGAGGGGACAGGACAGACCCACTCCAGCCATGGGGCTCTGGCAGGCGCTCAGGGCTGACAGTCCACGTGGGACTGGCAGTGCCCAGAGGAGTGGTTCTGGCCTAGCTGCTGACCCCTCTGCTGAGTACCCGGAGGCCCATAGAAGGTGGCCCTGCTCTGGTCAGCATCAGGTACAGTGCAGGAGCTGCTGCCCTGGACCCACAGGTCCCTTCAGCCTAGCTCCTCCTGCTGAGGGGCCTCCTCCAGAGCTGAGAACTCAGTTTCCCCTTCTGTGAAATGGGGACAAGGCTTCCAGGAGATCCAGGGGTACAGGGCAGCTGGGCAGGAGCCCAGCCAGGCCTCTGTGCGCCCAGACCTGGGTCCACCACAGCGATACCCATCAGGGAGGCAACAGCTGCCTCCAGGAGGAGGCCTGCGATGGCAGATAGGCCAGGCGGAGCATTATTCACGAGCCCGTCAAGCCCCAGGAACGTCTGGTTGGCATAGAAACAGGAGATAAGGGGCACAATTAATGGCATCGCATTCCCTCCTCCTTTCTTCCTCAACTGACCCACTTAAATCCTGTGCACTTGGTGCCATGCTGGGTTCCTGGTGACCTCTGGGGAGGGGCTCCTGCTTAAGGCACTGGGTCTGGGGCTCAGGCTTCCTAGGGCTGGGCGAGACCTCCCCAAACTGTGGGGTTCCAGGTTGAAGGGAGGCAGGCAGAGGGCAGGGCTTCGGAGAGACCCCAGGGGCCCATTCCACAGAGGTGGAGACCGAGGCAGGGCTGGGGAGGTGGACAGGGGTATGCTGCCATGGCCCCTTAAAGGGCCGGGCTGGGCCAGGCCACCACAGCCAGTGCACTCTGTCATTTCTTAGGGGGAGAAACTTACTTTCTCTGAGCTGTCCCAGATGCTTGGCAGTGTGAGGGGAGGCTGCTGCAGGCATACCCCTACCTGGCACAGAGCAAACACCCTGAGCGCCAGCCACGCCTGGCACCTGTGTGGCTCTCCAGGGCCCGGGGACCTGGCAGTGCCCCGCCAGCAGCCAGGAGCCAGAGTGTTGTGTCCCTCTCCACCAAGAGTGCCTCTCCATGTGTCCCGGGCCCTGCAGAGTGCCTTGGGAGGGAGGCACTACCTGCACAGGGGAGGACGGGGCCAGGCGACTGCAGGAATCCCTCACACTCTGCAGCTCCTGATGGCAGACACTCCCACCCCTTCTCAAGAAGGGAAACTGAGGCTGAGGCCCATGTCAGGAGCTGGTGGGCACTGCAAGATGGTCCCTGGATGGGAGAGAGTGAGGCTGTGTGCAGACAGCCTGCCTTATGTCACCTCTGAGGGTGGAACCAGCCCCCACCCCCGCCAGACAGCGCAGCCCTGCAGTGGGCGCTGAGGACAGCGGCAGAAGACTTTGAGGTTTGGAGTGAATTAGTCATCCCGTGGCTACCAACAATTTGTTTAATCAAACTCTGACACTGTGTGAAAACACCCCCTACCGACAAGGCGGGGGCCACGTTCCTGGCTCCTCTGGAAGCCCCTGAGCAGGCTGGCCCAGGTCCACTGGGATCCATGCACCCACAAGGGGGCCTTTAATAGCTTCATCTTGACCTGGGGTCTCCCAGTGCTGGGGGCTTTTTCTTGCCCCCATTTCCCAGAGAAGGAGACCGAAGGCCCACTCTGTCTCCCTCCCAGGCGTCCCTGTCTCTGGCACCCTCAGCTCATCACTCCTGAAACAGCTGGATCATCAGTCCACTCCCCAGAGCTGGAAACTGAGGTCGCCATGTCTGGTCTCTTCTTGACAGCATGGGGCTGGGCCCTGGACTCCCCAGTACTCTCAGGTGTGGGCAGTCCGAACCCAGGGGTGCACCACAGCAGGTGCTCACTGAGAACCTGCAGGGGGCAGACCTCCTCTAGATATGGGGGACCTGCTGGAAAAGACCAGCACACAGGGTTCCCCCAAGACAGTGGGCTGGTGGAAACCACCCGGAGATCTTCTGCCAAAAAAACTCCAAGCAGGCTACACCTACTGTCTGCCAGGAACCACAACAGCCCAGCAACAATCAAGGGAAAACACCCTCTGTTGAGGTGACAAACTGCCTGGGGCCACCAACCAGCACCTTGTCCCTCGATTTAGGAGCAGGGTGTCCCCTCCAGGCCAGCAAAGTCAGTGTTCTTTCATCGGAGGGGCTGTACTACCCTCCACAGGGGGAGGAGCAACTTCTAGGCAAGTAAGAGCACCTGGGAAAGAGCCCCAGATGGACAGTGCCGCCCCCACTGCCCAGCCAACACCCCCGCACCGCTGTGCCACGAACCCGCCGGCCTGGTGGCCCCAGATAAGGCCTCCTATCGCTCCTGGATCACCATCCCGCCCGGC